CTGGGTCATAGACCTCCTCTCCCGATTGCGACTCCTCCTTTAGCTTCCGCTTCCATGCCCAGTAACCAGACTTTGCTGTGTAGAAGCCCCTTCGTTCAAACCTCCATACCTGCTTATCTGATTGTGGAGAGCTAGGTAGAGGAATGGCTCGAATTCTGGCCCTGTCTAGCGAGTTAAAATGTTGCTCTAGGATATCCTCCCTCCATTGCCGAGTGGTGTGGTCAATTAGCGACGAAACCTTTCCCAAGAGCCCCAGATTTGTTACTGGTGAAACCACCAAATTCCCATCATCTTCTGCATTTGGAATCCATATGTCTCCCCATACCTCTACTTGTGTTCCATTTCCGATTTTCCATCTAATCCTATCACGAACCAGTTCCTGTATTGCCATTAAGCTTCTCCATACATAGCTTGGATTGTAGCCAACTCGAGCATGTAAGATATCTGTGTTTGGGTAGTATATGGCTTTCAACACTCGGGCTACTAGGGAATCTGGATTTTGGATAAGGTTCCAGATCTGCTTCCCGAGTAGGGCTAGGTTAAAAACCTTCAAGTCCCTAAACCCCAAACCCCCTGTTTCCTTCGGCTCGCACAACTTACTCCACGCTTTCCATGGGATTCGTTTCTCCTCCTTTTTCTGTCCCCACCAAAAATTTAGTATAGCACTCTTTATTTCATCCAAGACTACATCAGGGACCAAGAAAACTGACATTGTGTACGTTTCCTGGGCCAGAGCAACTACTTTTTTAAGGATTTCCTTTGTTGCATTAGATAAGCTTTGACCCTTCCATAATTTGATCTTCTTCCTTACCCTATCCACCAACACACCAAATACTGATTTCTTTTCTCTGCCTATGATGGTTGGCAAACCCAAGTAATTTGAATGTTCCTCCACTTGCTTCATATCTAGGATCCCCACCAACAGCATCCTTTGATTGCTTCCCACATTTGGGCTAAAAGTTAGATCCGACTTCTGTAAGTTCACTTTCTGCCCTGACTCCTTTTCATAGACCCATAGGATTTCCCTCAGGTGTATACACTCGTCGAGCTAGCTCTTGTGAAGAAGATGTTGTCATCGGCAAACAGCAAGTGGGAAATAATTGGCCCTCTCCTTGAAATCTGGAACCCATGCAATTTGCCCTCTTCGATTGCTTTTCTTGTTAGGGCTGAAAGCCCTTCCACACACAACAGAAACAAATACGGGGAGATTGGATCTCCCTGTCGAAGCCCTCTCTTTGGCGCAAAAGTTTCTGTTTGATGTCCATTCACTAAGATAGAGAACGATAGTGTAGTGATGCATGACATGATTAGGTTCACCCACTTACCGTCAAAACCCATCCGTAGCATCATCGCCTCTAGGAAACCCCAATTGACGCGATCATAGGCCTTCGAAATATCTAGCTTTGCCACCATGAACCCTCGTTTTGTTTCCTTTTTGGCTTTCATCGCATTAAAACTTCCGAAAGCAACCATCACATTGTCTATTATGTACCTTCCCGGTACAAATGCACTTTGAGCTTTTTCAATCACCTTGTTCAGAATCCTCTTAAGCCTATTGGCCAGCACTTTTGACATGATTTTGTATAGAACCTTATAAAGACTTATCGGTCTGTATTCAGCTGGTGTTTCTGGCTTCTTTGTCTTTGAAATGAGTGCAATGATGGTATGGTTGAACTCCATAGGGATGATGCCACTTTCTAAATAGCCTGTGAGTTCCCTTGTTACATCCTCCCCCACTATATCCCAGTTTTTTCTTGAAAAACAGAGCACTCATTCCATCTGCACCATGTGCTTTCCTTGATCCCATATTCTTTAGTGCCCTCCATATCTCTTCAGTAGTAAACGGCAGCAGCAACATCTAGTTCATTTCTGCTGTAACCTTAGGTTGAACCAACGAGAGGATTGTGTTTTTTTGTACCTCCTCCTCCAGGCTGAATAGCTCCTTATAATGCGACACTAGACAGTTCATCACCTCTTCATGTCCTACATGTAACTTTCCCGTTGCATCCTTGAGTTGTTTGATCATATTCCTCTTCTTTCTCTCTGATGCCTTCCGATGAAAGTTGCCTTTATTTTGGTCACCCTCCTTTAACCAGTCGGTTCTCGATCTCTGTCTCCATTTACTCTCCTCTTGAAGGAGAATTTCATCCAATTCTCTATTGAGAGCTCTTCTTTGTGCTTGGACAGCCTTTGTTCGCGGTTGCCTTTCCAGTCTGGCCAGAGCTCTCTCAATCCGCCTTTTCCTCTCTTTGAAGGATCCAAATGCCTCCTTACTCCACTTCAGCAACTCTGTTTCACAGCTCTTAATTTGCCTTCCATCCCTTCTCCACAATTTTCTTACAATCTTCATGTCTTTGCCAATAAGGCTCATAACGAAATGCCCAACCCCAGCTAATGACCTCCTCCTCCGGATTTAGTTGAATCATAATGGGGATGTGGTCAGATCCACATCGCTGGAGATGATACACCCTTGCCATTGGGAATTTGTCCATCCACTTTTTGTTGCCTACTGCCCTATCCAATCTTTCCTCAGTGTAGGCTTCCTCCTCTCTATTGTTCTCCCAAGTAAAACAGTTTCCATAGAAACCTAGATCCTCCAGCTCACAATCTTTCAAGGCTTTTCTAAAATCCTCCATCTCTCGAACATTAGGGTTGCAGCTACCACTCTTTTCGAGATAATCCGTGATTAGATTAAAACCCCCTATCAACACCCACGGTTTATCCACCTGGTTATACAACCATCTTAGCAAATCACATGTTTTGAATTTATTACTACCTTCTGGCCATCCATAAATCCCTGTTAGCCTCCATGTCTCTTGCTGGTTTGCACTCCCCACCTCAATATCCATGTAGTTGCTTGAACATCCCTTGCTTGACATCTCTACTCCTTGTTTCCACATCATCAGCAAGCCTCCCGCTCTGTTTCTCCCCGCTGCCACCCCTTTTCCTCCCTCATACCCAAATTCTTTTTGTTTTTCTTCCCATTCTCCATCATAAAGACGTGTCTCCATGAGGAAAACAATGTTGGGGTTCTTTTGACGCAGTAGCGTCTTCACTTTACCAACTGCCAGAGATTCCCTAGTCCCCGACAGTTGTAGCTGAGTATATTCGTTGGGCTGGGCGACCCTGATTATTCTCAGGGACTGCCACTCCGCCAACCGATGATGTTTTGTTTTGAATTCCATTTATCTCCTTTCTTTCTTGTGTCTCCTTTGATTCCTCCCTTACTTGCTGCCCCAGCATCCTTGTCAGAGGAGATCCCTCTTCATTTGCACCAAACTCCAAAGTTCTCGCTCGTTTTTTGCTTGAATCGGCATTGTTTTCTTTTGCCACTACCTTCTGAATTTCCATCACCATTCGTTTTTGTGGTGTGACCTGTGCGCCTGTTTTGATCCGTGGTGTGGTTTGGTCTTGCCTCCTCCACACCCTTCCCATTGGTTTCCTCCCCTGTTGAGGTCCTACATAACCCACCACAAAATTCTTGAGGGATCCCTCTTGTGTGATATTCCTTGCTTGTGGTTGGAACTTCTGAGGTTCCAGTTCCCCACCAGTTTATATCATCTCAGGCTGCTTATCCACCTCCATACTTCTCTCCTTCGCACTGGCCACCTGTATCTTCTTGTTCCCCTCGATCTGCTCGCCAACCTCCCCTGACTTAACTTCTTCTTTTTCCCCAGGTAAGGTTTTGTCGTAGCCTGATTTCGAGCTACAGCTCTCCGCTTCAAACTTCCTTTGGAGTTTCTCCCAAACTTCAGCATCCTCCTTCCTTGCTGCTCGTGACATCCAGCTTCGTGGGCCCGGACCATCTGTTCTCATATCCATCCCATATGGATCCACTGCAAGCTGAGTCGGTCTTTCACAACGTAATTTACGATGCCCTATTCTGCCACACGAGTAGCAGAATAGTGGCAGCTTCTCATATTTTACCTGATATTCCTCCAATCTTCCTTGTATGTTGAGCTTAATTTTCCTCCTTAAAGGGTTGTTTATAGACAAACTCACCCTAATTCTCATATGTTCATCCCATAGGTAACCAGTATCGTCAAACCAGACAAGCTCCCCGAACCTCAACGCTATCTTGCTCGCCATCTGCGTGGTCCGTTGCTCTGCTGGAAAACCTCGTATCTGGATCCAGAGGTCAATCATATGGAGATCCAGTGGGTTTGGTTTCTGAATCTGCCAGCACTCCTTAAAGTTATGACATTGTTCTCATAGTGCTAGGGTCCTCCGAAACTAACTTTATTCTTATCATCTTCGTCCAAAAACTGAAAAGCGAACAGTTTGTCTTTCAAATCTGTGATCTGGAACCCTTTTCGTAAGTTCCACACTTTCTCTAACGCAATCTTCATCGATTTCAGGTTTGGCGGTTTATCACCCACCAGGCGGCCGATTAAACCCAACGTCCTGACAGCTTCCATTCTGACGACGTCAACGTCCGAATCTTCGACTTCTAATGGCGGCTCGTCGTCTTCCGCTAGGTTGATCTTATCGAGCTACTCCTCCTAACTCAGAGGGTGGTTTGTGAGACCGCCCGACTCTCTTTGTGCCTGCGTACTTGCTGCTAGGTCCCCAGGCCTCTCCATTGTCTCAGTATCTATTGTTTTATAATGTTGCCCCAGATGAGAGTTTTCTAAGGCTATATCTTGTACCGTAAGACTTTCTTTGCTGCCGATCTGATGTTATTCCGAAAGCTTTCTCCTTTCACTGAAATCTCCTATATAGGACTCTTTTTCCGACGAGAATACGTAGTTACACACGCTCTCGGACGCCTCCAAACACCTTTCGACTTGATCAGAAGCTCGCTAAAAAAGAGTCGGAAAACCCTAGGGTTTCCGCCGCCTCAGAAACTCTCGCTAAACGAGAGAACTTTTGCCAGTCAGATTTACTATCAATCTTTAAATTAAATACAACCTTACAACTAACAAGTGAGAGATATGAAAGCGCATAATATTTGGCACTTGTTTGTAATATAAAATAAAAATGTGGAGGAAAGATGATATGTTGAAAAATTCGAAGATCGGAATTAAACCTTTCCTCCTGCTGCTAGTCATCGTAAACCCCGAATCCCCAGAAGCCTCTAATAAACGGGCTAAGAAAGAAAGAGCTGCTGCTGCTGCTGCTGCTTTCTGCCTTCCTGTGTTTGGGAGCCGAATCAAAATCGAAGGAAGGGAAGCGACGGGGAAAGCCACAATGGGCAAAGCAGAGAACGAGCGACTCAATCAAGCTCTAACTACGTACCTCAACACCATCCATGAAACCTTACAGGTTCCTTTTCCCTCCTTTCTTTCCTCGAATCAGATTTCATGTCAATTATGTGATTATCGACTGGGTAGGTTCGTTCTGATCAGTGAACATTTGATCGCGTTTGGAAGGTGTTGGATCAAACACCAGGTTCTTCTTTGGACAAAGTTACCTGGAATGAGGTTGTGAAAATGGGCGACAAAGTCTACTGGCAAGCTACCGTTGGTAGGTACTCCCATGCATTTTCCCGCAAACAAAGGGGCTCATATTTTCTGTTGAGGCTCTCTGTTCATTCTTTCTTTCTTTTCGGCTTTCCATTGGCAGTCTTATGCACTAAGTGATGCTATGTATTCCGTAGCAGTGATTATGGGTAGCATCAGCAGAGATGTCTGCTGTTAGTTTTATAATTAAGATAATGGTTTACTGTCACTAACAGATCCACTGTGATGTCAACTAAGAGCAATCACCCGGTTGCTTTTTGGGTTTCTTCAGGATGATATCACCCATTGTTCTGATATTCAAATGCTGTAACTGATAGTGTTTCCATGACAATGGTTTCAGTTGGGATGCTTTGGACAGGGGAAAAGCCTGAAGCTAAAGCAGTCCAGGAGAACATGGCGACTTTTTTCAATACCTTACAAGGGTTCCTTCTACTGTCTCATGGAAGCAGAGTCGGGGCAGGGCCTACTCTTTCTTCCAGCATATATGCATCAGTAAAGCAAGTTGTTGATTCCAGTTTTAGGTTGATGATGGAAACCGTTACTTCTTATGGTAAAGTCTCCATCCCTCCCTCGTGTCTCTAGATAACATCTGGGGGTGCAGTTCCCACAGCTAGTATGGGAGTGGACAGCCTACTTTTAGTTGAATGAGTCGAAATCTTTGTGAACTCTTGTGGAATAAAATGCAATCCTTATTGGTTCCACCCTTTCGTCCAAGGGCATATATGGTATCTGTTCAAGCTCAATGTTCATTGAATATAACGGATCCTAAGAAGTGTAAGGTTTAAACAGTGGTCTTACGGACTTTATTATGGTGTTCTTGAATTGATAGGATTATGTCTGAAAGAAGAAATAGGCTCCTATTTGCATGTTCTTTGGTTTCTTTTATATTGGAAAGTAAGATAGGCAATGGAAACTGAGGCAGTTTTATGATAGATGTAATTTGATTTGAAATACTTAGGGATAATTCTCTTAAAAAGCATCAAAATTGATTATAGCTCGAGGATGTATCAAATTTAGCCAAGAATAAGTTTTTGCAGAAAAGCAATATGATAACTTTTGAATAAGAATAAGGCTCATTCATTATTGACTATATCAAAATGATTGCTTCCCCGAACTTGCTTATTTGGTTTTTGTCTGTTTGGTCAGTGTTCTTACTAAGTAATCAATAAATTCATCTCTGCTACTTTCTCTTACAATGAAATCGAAAAAATTCCAGGATCTTGTACCAAAGACCTGAAGCTCTTAGTTCCACAGCTGGTTGGTGCTGTATGGGAAGCCTGTTCTGCATTGAAGAAGACACCTTCAACTAATATCACAGCTATTGGACGGGCTTTGACACAAGTTGCTGTGTCAATGAAGGATGTTCTTCGTGAGATGAAAGAACTGAAGCCCGAATCAGGCAATCTCACTGTCACTGAAGATGCTGAAGCAGAAGGCGGGACCCAAGAAGAGGAAGACGATGGTAGCTTAAGTGATGGCGGCAATCTAGGGAATGACTTGTCACCTGAAGAGATGAAAATTGCTGAATCTGCAACAGGAGTCGTGTCCAATGCACTTGTTTTCATAAAGGAACTAGTCCGGACCATCACTGGCTTGATCAAACTGGAAAAGCCTGATGATAGTGGCAACTTTGTGGATGCTTTGGAGAAGCTGTTGACGCTTTGTCAAGGGATGGGAGAGCAGATTGATGAATTGGGAGCCTGTCTTTACCCTCCCCAGGAGCTTCCTGTAATGAAAACCGCTTTGGATAAGATATCGAAGCAGGTTGATGAAGGTCGGAAGGAAGTGGAAACTTTGAACTGCTCTGCTGAGGCATTCTTCCAGGGCTGTAATAGTTTGAAGATATCGATTAGATTAATGGAGACAGAACTTGATTCCTCGATGACTGCTGTTATAGAAGCCAAAATGCAGAGTATCAGTGTAGACAATTAAAGGGGTAGGGTATGGGGTTTCGTCAGTAGGATCATTCGCTTACTTACGGTAGTACTGTAGGAGGACTGTTACGTTCATGTTCATTTCTACTGCGTGCTACTTTGTCCAGATTACTGTTCTTTTATTTGGATGTTTTTTCCTTTGTGTTAATACATTACGGATTTTGTGAGCCAGTTGAAAAAGAAAAACAAGTGAGCAAGAAAGAACTATAATCCATGTGACAACATCGCCTCAAAACAGGTGAAAATGAGAATGTAACTTCAAAACATGTCTAAATGGTCATTTAGCTTTCTCAGATCTCAAGAATTGTCAACTATTGAACATGGTTTAGGTTTGCTGGTGCAGCTTTTGGGTGATTGTGGCAGGAGGTTTGTTATTTTTATTGTCATCTCCCTTTGTGCTAACTAAGGTTAGGATTCTGCCAAAGTGCCAATGGGTGACAAAATTTCTATCTTTTATGAAGCATATTGGATATAAAGTCGAAAAAGTTAAGGGGTCGTTTGGATTGAGTATTTGGGGTGTTATTTGGGGTCAAATAATAGATTTTGTGTTATTTGACCCCAAATAACATGTTTGGCTGACAAAATGTGGGATGCGTTATTTGGATGTAAGTGTTTTGCCAAATAACAGGTTTGAGACCAAATAACACAAAAAGTGTTGTTTGCCAAATACTTGAGAGGGGGCAGGTATTTGCCAAATAACAAGTTTGAGATCAAATATCACATACCAAATAACAGGTTTTATATTATGTGGTATTTGTGTGGTAATTGACCCCAAACAACAAGTTTGTCAAATACTCAATCCAAACGACCCCTAATAGTTCACGGAACAATGGTTGATCAATATAGATGTAGATATACCATTTAGTCGTTTATAAAATACTACATGCATATAAGGATGGTCTTATCGTACACCAAGTCAAAGATGGTGTATGTCATGCACCAAACCATTTTCACCGTACGCGTTCATCTCAACAGACAACATAATTGTGGGTTCTGTTTTTTGTGAGATTATAAAATAAAGGTTAAATGCACTTGTATATCCAAAAATTTCACGATTGTGCCAATAATATCCAAATTTTCCGAAATACCACTTATATCCGATTCCTTCACATCCTTTAACGGTGTTTTTGGATATACATGTGTATTTAACCAAAACTATTTTGGAAAATGGATAGATTTGGCAAAGAACAACTTTAAAACATGGATATAAGTGGTATTCCGGAAAATTTGGATATTATTGGCACAACCGTGAAAGTTTTGGATATACAAGTGTATTAAACCTAAAATAAATTACCCCATTTATGCTGACTGTTGAGATAGACATGTTCGATAGAGATTGCCTGGTGTATAATATACACAAGCTTTTGCATGGTGTACGATCGAAGCCACCATACATAAAAATTATAAAACATAATACCAATAATCTTGAACCTGGATTGAAAAACTTGTAAAACTCAAAAAAAATGCACGACACAATCGATTTTCGTGGTATCCTCATTCAGTGTGAACGAGACTAATCCACGGAGAAGGAAGACCTTCTCAGTTTCCGCCTCATAATCGTCATTCTGAGCAGGCGATTCATGTGAAAAAGATGGCAATCATCACTTGTGGTATGATGAACAAGAACCGTATGAATTTGTACAAAAATCATTCAAGATTCGCTTTAATTTGAATGATTTAGGGTTAGGGTTTACAATTTGGGATTTTTTATTGGTATTCAAAATTGAAGGATAATTGGTTAGGGTAATGGATTGATTATTTGTGATTTTGTGTTATTTCATCATATTAGACTAATACTACTCATTAAATTTCAGAATTTGATGTATTATGACCACTTTTAGAATTGGGTGCATTCAATGCACCAAAAAAAGTGAGTGCACCGAAGTAGCCTATATATATAACTGTAATGCATCAATACTCCTAGGGTTATACGTAGGAACATAAGAGCAAAAAGACAAAACGGTCCCTACTTACGGAATACGATTCCTTTACCTCGCCTCGCGCAAGCGGAGCATGCAGGTCACAAATACCATACTTGGAGAGTAGATAATGGAACCGATCACCGCCAAGTCCTTTTGTGAAAATGTCAACAACCTGATCACGCGAAGACACCTTGGTGGGGAGGATGGTGCAAGCTGTAACATGATCTCGAACAAAGTAACAGTCAAGCTCAACGTGCTTCCTCCTTTCATGAAAAACTCGATTAGCTGCAATGTGTTGAGCATCCTGATTGTCACAATGAGAGACTGTAGGACTATAATAGAAAACACCCAACTCACGAAGAAGTGCACGAAGCTAGGTACCCTCGCTAACGGCACTAGTCATGGCCTGATATTCATGTTCAGCTGAGGACCGGGAAACAACAGTCTACTTAATTCGCAATGAAGTTGGAGCATCTCCAAAAATAACAAAGTATCCGGAGGTTAAACAACAAGTAAGCTGACACCCTGTCCAATCAGAGTCACATTAGGCAGTCAACCGCGAGCTTCTAGTAGACGACAAGAGAATCCCTGTCACGATGCATTTTTCAAGTAACAAAGTACCCGTTCTGCGACAGTGACATGCGCAAAGGAAGGAGAGTGTACGAACCTGCTGAGAATGCTAACATAATATTTATGTCGCGGCAAGTAATAGTAAGATACTGTAAACAACCAACTAACAGATGATAGGTCGATTGTTCAACCTCACGGGAAGAAGTAGAAGCATCATCATTGTTTGCAGGAGGTCTGGTGAGCTAGTGATCATGTTCGACATGCGTGGAAATAGGACCCGCCTCCCATAAGTTCAACATCATACAGTAAGTCAAGAGTATACTTGCGTTGACTTAAGAATATACCTTTTTTGGAGCGAGCAATTAAAAATTCCAAAAAATACTTCAAGGGACCCAAATTCTTGATGCTGAACTGGTCGTCGCATTTGGTTTTGATGTGATGGATGAAGTCTTACTTCATCCTTTGCAAGAACCACGTCATCTACAAAGATCAACGTAGTTACAAAATTGGAGACAGTCTTGCGCATGAACATTGATTAGTCAGCACGAGTTCGAGTGAAACACATGCTGAGAAGAGTAGAGGTAAACTTAACATACCAGTTGGAGATGCCTGTTTCAAACCATAGAACGACTTATGCAGTCGACAAGCTCGAGGGTCCCCTGGAGCTGCAAAACCTTGAGGAATCTTCATGTAGACTTTCTTTTTGAGATCACCATGCAAAAAGGTATTGTTCACGCCGAGTTGATGAACAACCCAACCGTGAACAGGTGCAACTACAAGCAAAGCGCGGACACTCGCCAGCTTCACAATAGGTGCATATGTGTCATGGTAGTCGATACCTTCAATTTGGGTAAACCCTTTTGCGACAAGACGAGTCTTATAGCGCTCCACAGTCCCATCCCGATGTTATTTAATTTTATACTCTCACTTGGGTGTGATCTCCTTCTTCCCTGGTGCTAAAGGGACAAGAGAACAGGTATGATTCACCTCCAAGGCATCCATTTTGTGTTTCATGGCCGTGCGGTACTCGACTCTCTAAAACACAACACCAAACTATGACCAAGTGTAATCGCAATATGGAAATGGAGTATAGTGGGTTCAGTTTTACTTGTCAACTCGGGTCCTAGATTTACCGTCTACTCCGTGTAATTCTGTTCTACCGGTAAAAGTCGAGTGAGAATGAATTTAAACTAAGCAGAAAGAAAGCAACAAGTTGTTCGGTGATTCGGGCCTAATTGTATACTTTTTACCTCTGTTTTCATTATATGTTTGTGGCACTTTTAGTTCGTGAGCAATGCAGTTAAAAGCGCGATTCTACCTAGAAGCGGAAAAAAGGGTAAAATCTTAAAGAGTAGAATTAAAACGTAAAAGCGTAAGTTTTTTACGCATACTGTAAAATAACTAAAAATCTGTTAAGTACGACATATAATATGTAAAATATGAGTGCACATAATTTAGATAAGTTAATAAATACCTATAATTCATGTCTAAGGTAGAGCCACTCATAGCATCTTAACAATAAGTTCATAAACAAATATCTTAACAGTAAGCCATCTTCCCCTCTATGCTAATAAATTTGGGAAGGGCCTAGTTGGTGAATTAGATTACTCTATTGAAACTGAGAATGCATCAGAGTACCTGGTATGTATCTTTTAATCTGAAATGTATCATATTGTTGGTGATTTACCTTTAAGATATACTTTTTTATAATTAATTACATGAAAAAAATACTCATTTATTGAACTAAAAGCGTCAAGCGTTTTGGTGAACTAGAAGCATAAAAGCATAAGCTTTTTTGTTTTAAAACGCAATTTAGTTTGATTATATGGACTAAAGATTTTATATGGAAACGAAAGCGTTTTGGTGACATAGAAGCGTAAAATCGTAAGCTTTTAAGTTTTAAAGCGCGATTTTGACTGCATTGTTCATGAAATTCGGTTTTACGCTAGTTTGTGGTTGTTTTTAGTACGTTTCAGATCCTAGAAGGTGAAATCAACCCATAGAAGGAAATTTGGACGAAAAGGGGCGAAAACCGGTCTAAAGGGAGCAAACAGCAGCAGTTCACGGTGGAGGCCAGTAGATCACGGTCAGCCAGACCGTGAAGAAGGGGTCCATACCGTGAAGCGCATGGAGTCCAGAAGGTTTTTCGCGCCTCGCGGGCATTCATCAGTTCACGGTCATACGACCGTGAAAACCCACTATAGACCGTGAAGCGTCTAAGTGAAACGGTGCGGTTTTGCTCGACATCACGGTCCAAGCCAATGTTCACGGTCGTGAACTTGGACCGTGAAATATCGTCGATCTGGGTATATAAGGAGAGCTGAGCTGAAAGAGAAATGGGAGGAACCTAGTGAGAGAAGCTTCTTCTTCAGACTTCTAGAGAGAGAAAGTGACGAACAAAAGAAGAGGAGAAGCTAGGGTTGGGAATTTCATCCAAGAGCAAAATTTTGGGAATTTCTTCCTCAAAGGTTGATCTCCACACCGCAAGGAAGAAGGCAAACATCCTTAGTGTATTCCCTCTACTTAGCATGGAGTAGTCTTTTCTTTCACTTGGGTGTTTGTGAACCCTAGCTACAATTATGTGAATGTTTGTATGGATTGGATGACTTGTGTGTGGTTGTGTTTTAATACAAGTTATGAGGTATTTTCATGAAGGTTGTGTTGTGTTTTTGCATTTCCAACTCATATGCCATTTTGACCTAGGTAGAGGGAAATCACCTTCTTGCTAAGAGGCTTGTAAAAGTTAGAATTCCTTGGCCAAATTGTGTCACCTAATTAGGTTGAATTAGGGCAAACATCTTAATTAATACTTATTAGCACCTTGGGTAGGTTGTGTTTTGGCTGTGCGGACTACGATTCGAGGGAGAAGCCCAAGTAACCCTTAGTCGAATGACCAAGAGAGATACCTTGGTAGCTTGATTCTAAATCCCTTGGCCTAGTGACCGAGAGAGTGACACTTGATCACTTGTTGCGCTTCCCTACGGTTTACAATCGCCTTTACCGTACATTTGCATTCGATCCAACAAATCATTATTACTAGCTAGGGGGAGCAACATCCGGGTGAAGCCTTCTCAATTAGGATTCGAACCATTTACTTTTCCAATAGCTTTAGCTTTAAACCATAGTTTTTACCAAAAACCATTTGCTCGAAAATGTTTCAAACAATTGAAGTAGGGGTACATGGACCGACCCAAGTTTGACTTTTAAAACATACTTGTTGTATATTGCACCCAGTTAAGGTTTATACTTGGGCCTTAATCGGGATTTTTATTGTGATATTAGGGACGATTCATTCAGTTTTCTAAAGAAAGAGAAGAGTCACTCGGGAATGAGCCCCCTAGCTCTTTAACTCGGTCCAAGTTGTAATTCCTTTTGGTTGCTTTACTGCTGATTAGACTACAGAAGATCCGAAAAATAGATTGGAATCTCTTAAACTGACCAAGCCCTCTTAGACACAATACCCGACAGGCGATTAGCCTTCACTGGAATAGAATTCACACAGAAGTTGTAAGGAAATTCACACAGATCTCCACTAGTTGGAACAAACCCAGTACAAAGTAGTGAATTGAATAACTCTCGTATGATCAATTCACTCCTATCAATTGAAGAGGATCTATCAACCTAATTAGATTCTATCATCATAGGTTAACGCAGAAGTCAAGTGAATTTGATCAGGACTCACTTGACTCAATAAACATGCCTCAATCGATTAAAATCACCCAATATAACATCCAAAAGTCATTACAAGCAAGATCCCTAACACATGGAACTAGAGTTTTTCATACCCAAGTGAGAAGGAAGATTACTCAATAGAGAGAGAGAGGAAAACATAAATCAAAGTCGTCATACTCATAATGATGTGTATAATTTTCTCGAGGATGTCAACCTTCGTTCCTTGGGACGCAATCTAGGCTTCAATGGTGAGAAATCCAATCCAAATAGCTCCTTGATCTTCTTCTTCTTTGTCACTTTCTATTTCTAGATGATGGGTGAAAGCTTTAAATTTATAAGTCAAAGCGCACTCACTAGTCAATCCTAACGAGGCCAAGTATAACCAATCTAGGGATGTAGTAAAGTGGTTCGGTCGTATTCCAAGGGTCACGGTATCCTAGGCTACTTAGACTCGATCGTTATCTAGTCAACTTGTTACTTTGTAGGTGGGCAGTTGGCCATTCCTAAACTGAAGATCGAAAGATGAGAAGAGGTACTCGTGATAACTCCCTCGTCCTAGCCTAGGTCTATCATGCAAACATCTAAATATATCGGGTTAAGCGAATGTGGTGAGTGAGCTCTTTTCCATGGGCCTTCATGATTATCCACACGCCTTCGAATACGCCCTACCTACCCCATTGTCACCTTGGTATAGGATCACGTATTTGGGGCTTTAAGAACCTAGCTCCTTTCAATGGGTACTACCCACCGTCCACATTGAGGTTTCATCACGGGTTCCATCTAGGAATGCATTCTTGTGGAAGGGGTCCGGTCGCCTCGTCCACCACAAGACCCTATTCATTAATCTAACCCTAATTTCGCAGATGACGCATACCCGTCTAACCCTAAAACTCCATACCCAGCGTAGAAGCCCAAGTAGGCTAGTAGAGAAGATAATGGCGACTTACCCAAGCATAATTAAAAGTAAATGAAGCATTAAAATCACTAGACGAACACATTCATTCAAATCCCTAATATATTCATTCATTTACATAGTAGCCCTAAAACTAGTTTGGGGATTTAAACCCCTAGTACCTTGGGAGATCACCCCATGAGGGGGGGGGGGGGGAGAAATCAGGGACGGAGCCAGGATTCAAAGTTAGGGGGGCCGAGTCACTAATATATTTATTGAGGGTAAATTGCAATTTTGGTCATTGAGATTACTAAATAAGTTCATGTTTAGTCACTAGAAATATTTAATTACATTCATAGTCACTCAAAATTAATAAAACAGTTCAAGTTTAGTCACTTTCCGTTAGTCTCCGTCCGTCTCCGTTAACGAAGACTGTTATGTGCTAACGTGGAAAACGAAAACGGCTAATCAGCCTAATATGACCCAAAAATGATGAACCCGACCCACCACGTCACTAAGACCCGCCACATCATCTTATCTATCCCAACCCAACCCTTGAAATGGACCGAAATACCTACCCATGAACCGACCCACCCAAACAAATATCTCATTTTCCTTTCCAGATCTGAAAATCATTCTTCGTTTTTCTTGTCGTCCTTCGACAATTGGATCCGGATGGAATCGCCTGCCCTATCTTGCATCCGCCTCTCTTGCCTCCGCCTCTCTCTCTCTCTCTCGCTCGCTATATATAGAGCAGCCTTATCATACCATCCGTCGCCTTCTTCCTTCATTCTCTTCGATTCAAGGGTATATATGAAATTTTGCTGTCTGGGTACTTCATAACTCGCATCACTAGTTTCATAGCTTCATATCCTAGCTGGGTTTGGGAAGATGGATTCTTAAGCACAATCGGCACTTGCAACATTTTCACAGTCCGCCTCTCGCCAATTTTCGATCCAACATCCAACACCAGGATCAATTTTGGTCATGGGTTCCGATGGGGCCGCTGTGGGTTCGCCCCAATAATGGCAACTCCGGTCTCTGATGGCGCTTTGTTCCTCCTCCCCCCTGTCTCGTCGATTCCACTCCCCGTCGCACCTCCGCGGTTCCTGATAACGATGTGATTACACGGCCGTGCCCTCGACCATGCTTTGGCCACTGATGCCCTTTTAAGCAGATTTTCAGCCAAACAGAAGGGGATTCGAGTTTTAGAGAGAGAGATCGATTCCTAGAGAGAGAAAGCGACGAACAAGAGTCTCCAAGTGCCCTAGCTTGATCTTCAACACCATTGGAGACCACTATGAGCTGGTCCCACCTCCTGCACCACGACCACCCTGGCTGTCCGGGTACTCACTCGCCTGCATTTTGCCAGATGGCCAGGTCGAGCTGACTGATGATGGTGGTCGCATCCGTCGGGTGCATGGTAAATTTGAGGGCTTAGTCCACTGTCCAAATTTTTAAATTTGAGGGCTCCAAGTACGTGTTCCTTGCAATTGCCTGCTCAGTATGCTTTGAATTGACAGTCTCTATAGTAATATGCAACCTAGGGAGGTAGTGTAGCACTATGGAGGATGTTGATGCATTTAAGAAGTCTCATTTCTTCTTCATATTGTGTTGGTTGATTGAGTGAATTAGTGATCTTAGGACCCTTGAATTGTGTGGTGTTGTGGAATCTCCACCTGTCATTGAATCTTGTATCATGTTTTGAGTTTAACAGGTGCTCGAAAATGTGCTTCAAAATAACGTCTCCCGTGCGAATAGGGCGAAAGTGTGTAAGGGGAGACGGGAATTCGTTCCCAATTTCCACCTACT